TACAGCCGCGACAGCCATGAGACCATCTCCACCACCCAGTTCACTCACCACTGATCAAGTTCAGCAGCTCATTGCTTACCTAAGCTCACAACTCCATGTTCCCACCACAACCGACATACCTGACGCTCAATCGGCTTCACAGCCCTCTGCTTCTCACATCCATGGTAATCTCGTCTCTACTCTTTCTCTTTCAAATCCCTGTGTACCTCATGATACTTGGCTTATCTATACTAGTGCAACACGACATATTTGTTGCAATTTGTCTAGTTTTTCCCATTCAACAATCATTGATTCGATCACCATCAATCTCCCAAATGGTCACACAATTGACATTACACGGATCGGAACAGTCACATTGTCTACTTTTTTTCTTTTACACAACGTCTTGTTTGTCAGTGCCCTTACTCTAAGCCATCATTGTCTTGTTAATTTTCTCTCTAACTTATGTGTCATTCAGGACCTCATTTAGGGCTCGATGATTGGGATGGGTAGACGCCAAGGCAACCTTTATTTTTTAGAATTAGAGAATTCTAATTGTAATTCTTTATTTTCCTGTGTTGCAATGTCTAGAAATGATATTTGGCATTTTCGGCTTGGCCATCCATCTCATGTAAAACTTCAAATTCTACATAATGAATTACAACTTCCTGTCTCTTTATCTCATATATCTTCTCACTGTCGAATTTGTCACATGGCCAAACAGAAACGGCTTCCTTTTATCTCACACAATAACATGTCTCCTAAACCATTTGATTTGGTGCATATTAACATTTAGGGTGCTTTCCATGTTCCAATTCCGGCAGCACACAAATATTTTCTTACAATAGTAGATGATTGCACTTGTGCCACTTGGGTCTAATTATTACATGCCAAATCAGATGTTCTTAACATTTTTCCAGATCTTTACAATCTAATTCTCAATCGATATAACATTACCTTTAAATCAGTTCGATCTGATAATGCTCCTGAATTAGCATTTCTTGATTTTTTTCGCTCCAAAGGCATTCTACCTTATCACTCTTGTGTTGACACACCCGTGCAGAACTCCGTCGTTGAACGTAAGCATCAACACATTCTTAATGTGGCTCGAGCTCTCTTGTGTCCCTCTTTGTTATTGGGGTGATTGTGTATTGACTGCCATCTATTTAATCAACTGTACACCATCTCCATTACTCTCCAACAAAACTCCATTTGAACTTTTAAACAATAAAAAACCAACCTATACACACCTTCGTACATTTGGCTGCTTGTGTTATGGCTTAACCCTTCCCAAACACCGCACAAAGTTTACTCCTCGGGCCCGTGCCTCAGTTTTTCTTGGTTAGCCCTTTTGTTATAAAGGATACAAAATTCTTGATTTAGAAAGCAACAAAACCTACATCTCTCGTAATGTGACGTTTCATGAATCCATTTTTCCTTTTGCTAGCTCTCCTCCCGGTTCAACTCTTCATGACTTCTCCACCAGCCATGTGTTCCCCACTTCACTTCCCTTATCTCTTGAGTCACTTCATTCCACTTCCTCCTCTCATTCTCCTCTTCCAGATCTTCCTTTTTCTCCTACTACCTCTGCCTCTTCTCCTTCCCTCAGTACTTCTCGACCACAACGCATCATCAAACCACCATCTTATTTGTCAGACTATCATTGTTACTCCGCCACACAACCCTCTTGCTCTCTTATTCCCAATCCTTCCACCTCCACTTCTCACCCAATTTCTTCATTCCTTAGCTATCACAAATTGTCCCAGCCATACCGTACCTTTGTCTTAGCCATCTCATCCCATACCGAACCTAGATCATTCTCACAAGCCATTGAGTCTCAGGTATGGCATGATGCAATGAATGTTGAGTTGTAGGCTTTGGAAAGCAATGGAACCTGGTATGTAGTGTCTCTTCCTCATGGTAAACATCCGGTAGGTTGTAAATGGGTGTATAAGATCAAGTTTCGGGCTGATCGCACTGTTGAAAGGTATACAGCCCGTCTTGTGGCTAAAGGCTATACACAACAACAAGGGATTGACTTCCTCGACACTTTTTCTCCTGTGGCCAAACTTGTTACAGTCAAAGTTTTGCTTTCTTTGGGCTCTATTTTTGGTTGGTCTCTTACTCAACTTGATGTCACCAATGCATTTCTTCATGGATACCTCACTGAAGAAGTATACATGACTCTTCCACCTGGGTATATTGCTAGAAAGGGGGAGACCTTACCTTCTAATGTTGTTTGTAGGCTCCACAAATTGATTTATGGCTTGAAGCAAGCGTCTCGCCAATGATTTCACAAGTTCTCAAGTGTTCTACTATCGGAAGGATTTACACAATCGGATTGTGATCATTCCTTATTCATCAAGTTTCATGGAAATTCCTTCTTGGCTCTCTAAGTGTATGTTGATGATATTATAATAGCAAGTAATGATCAAGCTTCTGTGGACACCTTAAAGGCAACGCTTAGTAAACGGTTCAAGATGAAAGATTTGGGGACACTAAAGTACTTTTCGGACTTGGAAATTGCTAGATCAGGCGCTGGTATAGCGCTTTCTCAAAGAAAATATGCTCTAGAGTTGCTGTCAGAAGCAGGGTATCTTGGTTGCAAGCCTGCTTCCATTCCTATGGAACCCAACTTAAATATTTCCCAATCTGATGGTGGTTTACTTGTAGATCCTACAAACTATCTAAGATTGATTGGAAAGCTAATATACCTCACCATTACACGCCCTGCTCTTAGCTATTCAGTAAATCGTCTCAGTCAATTCTTGGCAGCCCCACGTACTATGCATCTTCAAGCAGCCCTGCATATTCTACAATATATCAAGAAAACACCAGGTCAAGGACTTTTCTTTCCTTCAACCTCAACACTTCAGCTCAAGGCTTTCTCAGATGCAGATTGGGGTACATGTCCTGACACTCGACGCTCTCTTACTGGTTTCTGCATTTTCCTTTGATCTTCTCTCATCTCTTGGAAATCTAAGAAGCAAAGAAGCAACAGGTTGTCTCTCGTTCTGCCGCAGAGGCTGAATATAGATATATCGCCAACACTACTTGTGAGATTGTTTGGTTGCTTAGGTTGCTTAAGGAGTTGAAGGTTGATCACCGCGAACCAGCCCTGCTTTACTGTGATAATCAAGCAGCTCTTTACATCGCTGCCAATCTGGTCTACCATGAGCGCACCAAACACATCGAGATCAATTGTCAGTTTGTGCGGGAAAAAATTCAAGCTGGTGTCTTGAAAACTATGCACGTTTCTACCCACAATTAACTTGCAGATCTTCTTACCAAAGCTCTTCATCCTACACAATTTTAGCTTCTTTTAAGCAAGATGAGAATTCATAATCTGTATTCTCCATCTTGGGGGAGTATTAGCACACATCAGCCTCAGCGCCTATTAGCTTCTTTTCTGATGATATTTGTTAGCCATTTGTCTTCATTCATTTTTCCGTTATGCCAGGTGTATAGGATATTCTAGAAGAAGTTTGTTATGCTCTCATCTATATGTAATCGTGGTTGTACTTGTTTTTCTCATAGCAATGAGAATATTTCCTTTCTTCTCCATTTCTTTTTCCTAATACATCTTCTTCGCGGACTACGCAACATTTTTATGGTGATGATCCATTACAACTTGATGATATAAAAGAAGGGGGTGTTTTCTTTAGCAACACGGATGTCCAAAGAGTTTTGCAGCTACTAGCCATCAAGAGCCTAAATATTTCATTTATAGGTGTTCCTGTAAATAGTCCAAAAATTTACTTAATTTAGGTTGAATGAGTAAATAGGATATTTTTTACAAAACTTAAAATAAGTTTTGTAAGGGTAAAATATGAGTTTTCTTACTAAAAAATATATCATGTAAATAAAAAATATAAATCACTTTAGGTTTCATAGGACTAAATCTGATTAATTCTGTATTTACAAATTTGGTCATGGGATAAATACATAATTTTCCAAATTTATTCATGGGGTAAATTTAGAATTTATCAAATTTTGTCAAAGCTGAATCAAGAATTTATCCGATTTTTTTTTTTTTTTTTTTTTTTTAATGTGTTCAAAATTTCTACCTTTTTATCTTTATTCCTCCCAAAAAAAATTAGTTACTTCCTTCTCGCTTGCTGGTTTTAAAATTTGGGTAGTATAATTTTTATAGAAAATAGTTTGAATTAGATAAGCAATTAGATTTAAAGAGAAATATTAAAGCATCTAGAACTAGGAGTGAGTAAATAACTAAATTTGATAGATTATGTGTATGTAGAGCTGTAAGCTTATGTTGGGCCAAAATGGCAAGTTCGGAGCCTGTCATTGTAGGCCTAGTCCAGGTCCCGGTCCCAGCCCAACTTGAACTCCCGTGCTGGGCTAGAATGATACTCTAGGCGTAAAATTAAAAAATTATTTTACCGTTGATACTATATTTAAAGAGAAAAAAATACTCCCTTAGATTACACAGGTTTTAATTTTTATCTCTTATTCTTGATTTATATTATTTTAATTAAACACTATATTAGTCAAAATGCTATTAATTAAGAGTAATTTGTAAAAATCTAAACTATACACTTCTAAAGGAAAGTTAAATAATTCTCTTTTTAAAAAAAAAAATACTCATTGTTCTCTAAAAATGTTGAATTAAAAAATTCTGCAAAAAAAAAAAAAAGAAAAAAATCCAAATCACTACAATTAAAATAAAAAAGCTTTTTTTTTTCTATTTTTATATGTAAGGTTATTAGAAGAATTATACCTTTTATACCTTCCTATTTTAAAAATCATGATACGTCCCTACCTATTGTTGGTCAAAGATTGATTTTTGACTATAAAAAATACCTAAAAATTATTCACATTGTTGAATTTCTATTTTTTCTATTTCCTTATTATTCTTATTCATTTTTCCTTTATGGGCATTTGAGTTTTTTTTTTTTTTTTTAATCAACCACTAACCAAGAAAAAGATAAGAATTGAGCGTAAATTCAAATCTGAAGTATAAATGTAATTAACTCCAAAATACAAGATATATTTTTTTTGGTAACCTCAAAATGAAGGCTATAAGAATGAGAAAAAAAAAATGTACCTGTTTAACTCTTTCATCTTAAAACGGGTTCAACTTCTCAATAAAATACAACTACCAAATCCACATCTCAATACTTTCTCCTCATAAGATTCAATATTTTCACAAGCAAAGCATAAGAAAGTTGCCAAATTTTAAGCATCCACATAAAGATGAGCAGATAAACGGTGACCAAAAGTTCAATCAAAATCCCATAAAAAAAAAAAAGAAAAAAAAAAAGAAAAGCAATCAAAATCAGATACACATATTGGTTCATCGGAGAACTTGTCTTCTCTTCTTTAAAAGACCTTTCTTATACCAATTTGCTCAATCGTTTGGCCCAACGTTCTGCTACTCGTAGACCTACTTAACTCTCAAATATATCAAAGAGGCCACGATTTCACAGCCAAGAACAATACTAATGTCAAACAAATCTTAAAACACATCAAGTAACGAAGTATGAATAAATTTTGAAAAACAAAAAATGATACATTATGATTAAGGTAATATGATATGTGCATGCCAAACTCTAAGGTGATACTACTTCATCAAACAGTGAGAGATGCACCATTGTCTGCTACTGTGAGGTTCAATATCATTGTAGCAGCCTTCGATGCCCATGATTCAGGTGTTTGGTACAATTCAGCTGAGTTTCCGAAGCACGAAACAAGCATGTCGGTGTTTATGACACCGGGATTGAGTGCAACAATTGCCATTCCTTCAGGCAACTCTTTTGCAACAGATCTAGTTAAACCTTCAACAGCCCATTTCGATGCACAGTAAGGCGCAACCAGTGCAGCTCCTGACCTTCCCCATCCAGATGACATGTTGACTATGATCCCTTGCTTCTTTGGAAGCATCAGTGGGATGAAATGACGCAGCACATTTGCTATCCCCTTCACGTTTGTGCTAATAACAGTATCGAACTCTTCCTCAGTCACCTCCCAAATCCTGTTGTTTTTGTTGATTGCGCCTGCATTGTTTACTACGATATCTGGAATGCCATTCTTTTCCATCACCACATGCGCCAGCTCTTCAATGCTGTTGTTCGATGTGATGTCAGCATTGATCAACAAGTGTTTGTTGGAGGACAAAGAATTGGGTTCTGTAGAAGATGGAGAAGCAGGGGTGGCGGCTGCAAGCTCCAATTTTAGGGAGTCGAGCTTATCCTGGGTTCGAGAGCAACCAACCACCGTGTGGCCTTGCTTGGCCAGCTCCAAGGCTAGGGCTCTTCCCAGCCCTCTGCCCACCCCAGTTATCAGTATTGTCCGAGGGCTCGCTCCCCCTCCCACCGCTCTGCTTGCCACTGCATTCATAACGCTATACAACACCCTTTTCAAAACTTTTCCTGCTCCCTCCCGCAAAGTTCTGTTTATACAACATCCATTACATGATCCATTAGTGTTTTATTACAAGTAATAACTTATTAAGATAAACTAGTCAACAAATGGTCAGCAAGACTAATTAGAAAGACAAACCATGGACCCAAAACGCTAACAAATGTTTAGAAAGTGAAACCCAGATATTGAACTCCAAATGAAAACCATGAATGCCGACAAATTGTCATTGTAAATGGAAAAGGCAGGCACCAAGACGATAATCGGCGACAATGTGTGCACCGCCTTCATCCTCGCCGATTACAATTGAGAATTGCTTTTGCCAGATGTGTGTGTGTGTGTGTGTGTGTGTGAGAGAGAGAGAGAGAGAGAGAGAGAGTAACTGTCCACCAACACCGCAAAAACAAAATTTTGGGTTGGTAGTAACTGTCCACCAACACCACAAAAACAAAATTTGGTAACCAACCCAATCTAGTTACGAAACATAGAAAGAGGAAAATAATCTTAATCTATACAAACTATTAAAACCCATTCACACAGTGCTTAATCCAAACACCATTATCAATAACATATTTTGGTCAGTATCGATACTACTATCATAGTATAAACATAAATTAGTCAGGAAACATATTTACTACTTTCTAAAGTAACGGGATGATAATTAAAAAGTTGTACTAAAACAATAAAGTATGCAAAGTAATACCATACTCTAATTGAATTACCCAAAGAAAAAACAACTTTACATAAACAAACTTCTGAATGCCAAAACAAATTCTTAAAATAAAGCAATATGTAGATCCATGAGATGATACTCAAACCGAGAGGATCCAATTAGTGATTAAAGGCAATGCTATGTTACTTAGAACCGTACAGAATCACTTCCAATCGAGCATTGGAGATCGGAGATATCACTCCGTACCAAACAAGTGTTGAACACAACTTTCAAGACGGGAGGTTCGTTGAGCTCGTCGATTGAAAGGTAAAGTAGCATATAATATTTTCCATTAGGCAGAAGGCAGAACAGAAGACGAAATTGATTACGATTCGGTTTCGACGACCGATAAACCACCACAGATATTTGGTTATTAAGAAAGAAAACGGTTACAAAGGATTCAAACATGGAAGGAAGAATGCCGATGTTTTCAATTAAGGTTGGTTACATAATAATACACGAATTGTAAGATTTCCGAATCCCAAACAAAAAACATATCGAAAGTTTCAATAAAATCAGAGAAAGAGAGAGACCTTTTCGATCGGAATAGAGACCAAATGACAGCAATCGAAGGTGGCGTTACTTCAAATTCCTCAGCAGCAAAACTCTACCCCCAAATTCCTCCGAGATTAAAGACGACAACTTTACCAGATTCTTAGACGAGAGCAGCGAATTTGAGATTAAGTGTTTGGATGTTAGAAAATGTTTGGTTTCTACAAGTTTACACGGGACTTTTTGCAACGCAGGATTTGAGATTCAACAAACTCTCGTGCCTCTTTATGTGACGTGATGAGTGTGTGGCAAAAAAGAAAGGAATTTGAGCCACACAGTAGATTGCGTTAACCAGCAAAAAATCATTTCTGGTTTAAATTTTAAAATACCAAAACTGTCCCTCAATGCTGCTCTAGACTAATGCTATGTTTGGTAGGAAGAAAAGAAAATAAGATATAAAGGAAATATGGAAGTGATGAAAAATAACAATGATGGAAAGGAAATTAATTTTTTTTTATGTTGTTTGGTATGAGAAGATGGAAAGAAAATGAGCTTACCTTCACTTGTTTGGTATTGGAAGTTAAATTGGGAGGAAAGAAAAAATCTTACTCATAAATTACTTTTAAACCCAAACCCGCTAATTTCGTGCGGGTTTCAAATCGTGTCGCCGTGTTGCTATCTGGATTGCAAGTCCTACTCTAGACCAACCGTAAGCCTAACATTTTATATGTACTATCTATAGGATATATCACTTCGATGGTTTTTTTATTTCAATTTGTAATTTAAAATTTGTAGATATCTAGTTAGTTTTAGGAGATATCACTTAGATAGTTTGTTTTGTTTAAATTTGTAATTTAAATGTGTAGATATCTAGTTAGGTTTAGATTTTATTTTCCTTTGTAATCATCTAGTAGTTTCTCATCTAGTTAGTTTCCTCTTTTCAATATGGTATCAGAGCAGTAAGCTTTTGGGCCTCTCTCCTTCTTTTCTTTTCTCCTTCTTAAACAAGCCCTAGTCGTCCTCCGTACACTGGTCGATCGGCTCTCACAACAAGCTCATGTTGTCGATCGACTAGTCACATGCTCCAGCAAAGGGGAAAAAAAAAAGCTCACTCCTTTTCAATGGATGCACCACATCCAATACCTTACACATATTTTGAAACCAAACAAGGTTCAAGAACTAACCATCAAGGACTCAAATTTATATGGGTACCAAAAATTAAGACTTGATTTTGCTTTGTAGGAGCCAAGAGAGGAAAAAGTCAAGTGGTTTTTAGATAGCGGATGCTCAAAACACATGACGGGAGACATTTCCTTACTTAAAAATTTCACAAGGAAAAACAGAGGACGTGTGACATTTGGCGACAACATAAAAGGAAAAATTCTTGGAGTTGGCGATGTCAGTAATAGTGCCTCTCCCTTAATTGAAAATGTATTTCTTGTTGATAATTTGAAACTTAACTTACTCAGTATTAGTCAATTGTGTGATAAGGGATGCCATGTTATTTTTAAATCATCAAAATGTTTGATTGAAAATGTTTGCAATAATGAAGTGGTGTTTATTGGTGATAGAAGTGAAAATGTTTATACAATAGATATTGAAAAATTATCTTGTAAGAATCAATGCCTTTCTGTTTTAAATAATGATTCTTGACTTTGGCATAGAAGACTTGGTCATGCTATCATGCACCTACTTTCAAAACTCTCTAGAAAAGAAGTTGTTAGAGGTTTACCAAACCTTCCTTTTCAAAAAGATAAAATTTGCGATGCATGTCAATTTGGAAAGCAAGTTTGAACCTCTTTCAAATCTATTTTATAAATCTCTACAACAAGACCTTTGCAGTTGCTTCACATGGATTTATTTGGTCCATCAAGAACAACTAGTCTCGATGGAAAACATTATGCATTCGTCATTGTTGATTATTTTTCAAGATATACATGGGTAATCTTTTTAGCAACTAAAGATGAAGCATTGAAAATATTTTCATATTTTTGCAAAAGAGTTCAAAATGAGCAAGGTTATCTAATTACCACCATTAAAAGTGATCATAGTGGAGAATTTGATAATGTTACTTTTGAAATATTTTGTAATGAGAATGGGTATAAACATAATTTTTCAGCACCAAGAATACCACAACAAAATGGTGTTGTTGAAAGGAAAAATAGAATTTTACAAGAAATGGCTAGGTCAATGTTAAATGAAAATAGATTACCAAAATATTTTTAGGTTGAGGCTGTTAACACTTCTTGTTACATTGTAAATAGAGTTCTTATTAGACTAAAATTGGATAAAACTCCATATGAGCTCTGGAAAGGTAGAAAACCCAACATTGGTTATTTTAGAATCTTTGGTTGCAAATGTTTTATTTTAAACACTAAAGACAACTTGGGAAAATTTGATGCAAAATCCGATGTTAGAATTTTTCTTAGTTATTCTACTACTAGCAAAGTTTATAGAGTATTTAATAAAAGAACTCTAGTTGTAGAAGAATCCATGCATGTCGTATTTTATGAAACTAACACCTTTGTGGAGAAAAGTCTAGATGATGATGATTTAGGTTTGGAGCATAAAATGAGCAATATGGAGTTGAATGACAAAGAAATAATGAATCTCAAAGAAAAAGAACCACAAACCTTCAACACACCATAACGTTAAGAGGAACAAGTTGATGATTCAAAACAAGATAGTACATCCTATCAACTACCGAAGGAATGGAGGTATAGTTCCTCTCATCGTAAAGATAAAATTTTAGGTGACATCTCACAAGGAGTGGTTACTAGATCATCACTTAAAAATGTTTGGAATAACTTAGCTTTTCTTTCACAAATTGAACCTAAAAGTTTTAAAGATGCCGAAAATGATGAATTTTAGATTTTAGCGATGCAAGAAGAGCTAAATCAATTTAAAAGAAGTGATGTATGAGAATTAGTCCCTAGACCTAGTACTCAATCCGTGATTGGCACTAAGTGGGTCTTTAGGAATAAGAGAGATGAGCACGGTGTGATTGTGAGAAACAAGGCTAGATTAGTGGCTCAAGGTTTCAATCAAGAAGAAGGAATCGATTATGAAGAAACCTTTGCACCGGTTGCTAGATTATAATCCATTAGAATGTTATTAGCCTTTGCATCCCACAAAGAATTCACTCTTTATCAAATGGATGTTAAAAGTGCATTTCTTAATGGATACATTTTAGAAGAAGTATATGTAGAACAACCACCCGGTTTTCAAAATCACAAGTATCCAGATTATGTCTTTAAATTGAAAAAGGCTTTATATGGTTTAAAGCAAGCTCTTAGAGCTTGGTATGATAGACTTAGCAAATATTTGCTCCAAAATAGATTTTCAATCGGAAAGGCGGATACTACACTTTTTACAAAACTAAGGGCAATGATCTAATTATTGTACAAATTTTTGTTGATGATATTGTTTTTGGTTCTACTAATGTTTTCCTTTGTGAAGAGTTTTCAAAATGCATGCATAGTGAGTTCGAAATGAGTATGATGAGAGAGCTAAACTACTTCCTTAGTCTTCAAATTAAACAAACAAAGGAAGACATCTTCATCAATCAAGCTAAGTATGTCAAAGATCTACTCAAGAAGTTTGACTTTGAAGGAATGAAGCATCTATCTACTCCAATGAGCTCATCTATTAAATTAGACAATGATGAAAATAGTAAGGCCGTGGACATAACAAAATATTGAGGTATGATCGGATCCTTACTTTACTTAACCACAAGTAGACCAAACATTATGTATAGTGTTTGTTTGTGTGCTAGATATCAATCAAATCCTAAGGAGTCACATCTAAATGCGCTAAAAAGAATTTTTAAATATCTTAGTGGAACTAATAATTTAAGATTATGGTATCCAAAGGGCACACACATTGACTTGTTTAATTATACGGATGTCGATTGGGCAGGTTGCACCATAGATAGGAAGAGCACAAGTGGTACATGTCATTTCTTATGATTTGCACTAGTCTCTTGGTTTAGCAAAAAGCAAAATTTGGTTGCTCTATCAACCACATAAGCTAAATATATCTCGGCAGCCAGCTGTTGTGTACAAGACCTTTGGATGAAGCAACCACTTTTGGACCTATGATTGAGCTATTATCATGTCCATATCATGTGTGATAACACTAGTGCGATCAACTTGTCAAAAAATCTAGTTTTGAATTCACGCACCAAACACATAGAGATTAGACATAATTTCTTGCGTGATCATTTACAAAAGGGTGATATGACGTTAGAATTCATTAGCACTAATCATCAAATTATGGATATCCTTACCAAACCTTTAGTTCTTGAAAGATTTGCTTCACTTAGAAGAGGTTTAAGACTGTTAGATTCTACAGAATTGAATTTGATCACTTAGGAATTAAGTATTTGATCTATGATTTGATGATTATTATGCTTAAAATAATTGATATTATCATTTTATTTGTGTGATAATGTATGAGGAAACATATCCTATATTTGGTTATTGGTTGATTAGGCTTTTTCTGCCAAAATCAACTATTTTCTTCACATTTTCTTTATACACCGGTCGACTAGAGACAAAGACATTATAATCAACTGGTCGCCCAGTTGTGATCCGATTGACCGCACCGGGCGACCGGTGGTGCGCGACAGGCACTTTAAATCAACTCTAAAATATTTTTCTCTCATTCATTCTCACTCAAGTTCGCACCCTAAGCGTCAAAATACACCCCCAAATCACAACAATCCTTAAAATCATCCAAAATTCATCAAATTTCCTCCACAATCCTATTCAAATCACTCAAGAAATGTCTCTCCTCTTCACATTCTCCTTTCTCTGCACTTTTTCACAAATTTCACTCCTAATCTACTCTAATCTGAAATCACCCACCAAGTGCTCGATGAATTGCTTCAATGGCTTCATGGGCTCAATCATCATGTGGAAAAGGAAAGAATGTGAAAGCTACTACCTCTGGTCCACGCAAGAAGGTATCAAACGATGAATTCAATACTCATAACTTTAAACTCTTTAAAAAGAAATCTATTATAGAAGGGAGATTTGTGGATTTTGGTGAGTTTAGAGAGTTGAATATTGAAAGATTGTTTGAGGTTTTGGGCCGGAAAGCATTTGTGGAAGTTAAGAAAATAGTCTACCCTAGGTTAGTGAAAGCCTTTTTTGCACATATGCTATATACAACTTGTGAAAACAACATCAAAATAACTTGCACTCTTAAAGGACAATACACTTAATACATATATATTTTTCATCACCATACCAAAGAATATCTCATTTTTCTATAGAACATAGGTAAAGAAATAATGG